GGAGAAGGAGGAAGAGGAGGAGGAGGAGGAGGAGGAGGAGGAGGAGGAGGAGGATATTTACCTCTATGAAGATATTTAGCAACTAACTATTTTAACGCGATTGTATGAAGTCAAGAGGAGAATATTCGGATTTTGCCTGCCTCACAGTAGACGGCACGAGAACGAAGTCCCCAGAGAGTTATTCGCGAGTGGCTAACTTGATATGACAGAAGCCAATGGCTCTGTAAACTGGACAGCCTACCCAGTAACAACCAGTGGTAAATAAATAGACGAGCTTTTCGCCAATCATCGGTTGTAATCCAAAATTTCTGCTTCATTGCTTTTAACTCGACCATCGGGAGGACGGACAGGCGAAAATTAGCCCTCGCCTAAGCCCCAGTTACTGAAACTTCCTTGCCTTTGGCAAACCGTTCAATAAACACGAGGTAGTAAATAAACCGTTTTCAATGTACTCTTTTCGCATCACTGCAATAACAATTCCTTTTCTGCTTATGGCCATTATTTGTGCTCCTGATGTTAGCCACCTTAAACGCCTCCAAGAAGACGGTATCTGTATCGTAGCGTACAATTACGTCCTCATCCCTCTTGCAGAAGGGAGGCTACGGAACCCTTCTTCAAGGCGCAAAATTTCTGCATTTCATCTCCATTTCACCTTTGTCGACTCAATGTTATTGTTGCGTGATTGTGAACAAAATTAAAATTTTAACCTAGACTAAAGCCTAAACCGATCTTATCGTCCGACTGATTCAGTCTAGTTGTGGGTAAATAAACAAATAAATTTACAAAGGTCGAGAAAAGGTTTCCCACCTCCCTTTTACTTTGACGATTTTATTTTTAATCTTTAACATTATGCACGTAGAAAAGACCTAAAATAAGCTTGTGTGATTTTATTAGAGAAAGAATGGTTTGATTACAACAGAAATTAAGCAACATCAGCAGGGCAATTCAAAGTATACACTTTTCTTCAATGACACGCAAATGCTGTTGAGTGTTCCCTCCTTTGGAATAAATGAATCTGCTTCTAGTTGCCTGGACCGAACTACCACCACTGGAGAAGGAAGGATGATGTTGGACTTACGAAACATCAACCCAATAATGTCTTGAAGGTCGACTTTTCCTTCAATGGGCTGATTGATGCTAAATACTGCATGTACAGGGAGGGAGAACTGGAACTCCGGTGGTACAAGAATGAGGGAAGCACACATTTGTGACACTTTTTCCTTTTAAGAACCACTCCTCTATTACCAGTATTGGAGTGCCTACCTCCGTGTTTATCAAAAATGTGCTAAATTAGGTGTTTGGACACACATCCAAACTCACCTTGCAAATGCCCTTTAAGGCGACAAACAAGTAGAGCAAAGAATCGTCCTCACGACAAGAAACTTCATCTCTTAGGTTTCAATACTCTTAACATTAGGCAAAACTAACCAACCAGCCAATGAAATGTTGGTCTGTCCCGTATGTGAGTGTTATCGACCAATCGGTGAAAAGCCGAATTGACTAATCAATTAGCGAGAAAAAGAAACTTAAATGTCATTGGTAATTGAATTGATTTTGAAAATCGGCGTGATGTGAAAGTAGTTCTTTCCAGGCATCGAATCAAACTCATTTCCCACTTTACAAGTACATTTTGATCACTTAAAAGTATTATTCTACTCCACCCCTTTCCCAATTTTTCCCATTACTGGGAGGAAAGAATTGTCGACACTGCCATTGGATGTGAGCAAGGAATATTCACAATAGCTGAGGGTTACCAATTAACCAAAATCGTGTTTTACTCTATCATGCGAATCATTGTAGGTTGATCGAATCCGCATTCTTCGGCGAGGCAGTGGACAAGCATTCATTCATAATTCATTCGTTCTTCTCTCACTTGCTGTGAAAACTAACCAGTGAAACAATGACTCGCCTTTACTAAATCTTCATGCCGCCAATTCCCAAAATCTTTTCCCCATTCGCAATTCTATTATCAATTAACATATTCGACGAGGCTTGGAAGATTAATTGATCACCAACATTCCGGTAACCACTGTTAATCCCTCGTTTGATATCAGATGAAGACAACGAATTTGAAAGAAGTTAACCTCTCTCTTGTAAAGTGGGACAAAGGAAGGAGAGGTGGTGGAGTATGCAAATCGCGAGTTTAGACTTGCGCAGTCCTGGGAAATACACATCCCACTTGGTTCAGCGTTAGTGTACAGGTGTCATTAGTCAACGATTTATCACCGCTTGTGCGCACGTGCATCTGCGGATGTGCGGCAGTGCATGCGCATATGTGCACGCACACACACACACACACACAGAGAGACGGACATGCATGTGTGCAAGAGCGTATGAATTCTCCGTCTGTCCGTATCTCGCAGTTTTGCTCCACTACTCTGCCACCAATGTTTCTCCTCCCTTTTCCTAGCCCTCACGCATGCACGCAAACTTGCCTGCAAGTGCGGACGTGTGTGAAATCTCAAGGTCATTGCAGGTGTGTGGCCGCCTATAAAGACCTCGTGTCTGCTTTCACCGGACCAAACGTTTTCGTCATGTGGATGGTGGAGTGTGCTGAGTGTTCTCCTGCCCAGGGCGGCCTTCACGCCTGGATCCGTCATCTGACGGACTTTCATGCCTTACCCACCGAATGGCCAAGTGACAGAGCCCTCCGATTGACAGGTCCTGCCGCTGCCAAACCCTACACTACCATCACAGAGTCCAAGAAACGTCGAAGGAAGGACTCTGTGCCGCGTCCTCTCAATAGTTTCATGGTGAGTTTGATGTTTTTTAACAAACTTCGCCCTTAATTCATCCTCTGACCGCAAATTTGCAAATCTTGAAAACACATTACACTTTTTCCCATGAGATTGTTTGTCCAAGTTCCTCACCTTCTTTGATAAACTCAACCTGGTCTTAGTAATTTCTCCCTGTTTTTGAATCTCTTGCGGATGATCTCGAGAATCCACCGTTGTTTTGTCTGTCTCTGACTTTCAGATCATCTCATAGTCCGCCAAATTGGGCTAGGAAGGCGATGCTACTATTTTGAATTAGGTTTATTCTGAATTTGGCGTTTAATAGCTTAAGTAAAATAGTGTCCCAGATTTGGACATGTCGCGTAAAACCATACAACAGCCCCGGATTTGACCAGCTGTTACCGTAATACAGAAAAGCCTCGAGCCAACTATGAAGGGATGTGTAATTTCTACAACTACGAGGATTCATGAATCAGGCGTTAGACTTAATCGAATCTCTAGGCTGCAATTAAGCAGGAAAGGCGAAACTCGATCGTTTCTATTGTAATGGCGGGAAGCAGAGGTCTATGCAGGTTATTACCCATTACAGTGCAATTTTGGGTGGCCTTTGCCAAGTACACTTTTGATGCACTGGTGAGAATTGTGTCGATCGGATCGGCAGTGTCGTAGGCCAGCTCCTTAATCGATTTTAACCTCTCCGACTGTAAGATGCCGACTGGACTGCATGCACGCCTATAGGTGGTATCAATTAGACCGAAAGAAGAGGTCCTCCCTCCATTTGTTTGTGTATGCGCGTGTGTACGCCTGAGTCATGGAGAAAAAGGGGAGGCTAGACCGAGGGGGAGGAGGAGGAGTGTACCGGGGAGATATCTAGGCCGTGGCTCCTACTATTTTTGCGCAACTCCATACACTGCCTTTTTATCCAATCACAGCCTATCAGGTGCGTGCGCGCACTGACGCACCTGGTAGCAAGCTCAACTCATTCGCCTATTGGCTAGTCGTGTCTTTGCTTCTCACTGTGACTATTTTGGGATGTGCAAGATCATCGTCTGAAGGGAGGGACTAGCTCTCCTCCCGGGTCATCCTTTTTAGACTCAGTTATTTGAATGCCACAGAAACTAGGACAGCTTCCTTCAGGTGGAAATTCTCCAGCCATAAACTGCTACGATTATCTGAGAAAGGCGTTTCCTAAGCCTATTCATCAATTGCTGTTAATGCTTGAGCTCTCCCGACATTGACAGTTCTGCTAGCATGCTTTCGGTCCCGTCTAAAAGATAAGGCTTTCACATGGCCACGAGGGGTAGACGTTCCACGTGGTAGCATCGCTTGTTTGTAGGTTTCATTTAGCATTTCAAGTTGTACAATTCCTTGAGGGGGTAGAGGTTTTGGTCTCACCGTTGGTAAAACCCGTAGAATGTCATTGCAAGTTCCGTCCCTACTGGGCTGCTAGTAAGGTTTGGCACTCTACTTCCACCTTATTGTCAACGCATTTTGTACTTGCATTTGATCATATCTAGTTGTCACAATACCTCCACTTTGGTTTTGAGAGATGTTTGCATTCTTTTGTGTAGCTCTTCGCCCAACACATCCGTCGAAATGTCCTTCGAGTACACAATGAGGCGTCCAATTCAGTGCTAAGTCAACAACTAGGAATTGTTTGGCGTTCAGTTCCACGAGCCATTAAAAATTGCTATGATGAAGAGGCTGCAAAATTGGTGAAGATTCATCAACTTGAATTTCCCAACTACAAATATCAACCGAAAAAACGTGGTGCATTAAATGAGACCATAGCACCAACCAACACATCGACAACCACTGTTCTCCCTACAACCGACACAAGTCCAATTGTGGTACAAAGTTTGCCTGTTTCCAGAGGCTACTCACCAGAGTCATGGCGTCTAACCGACTCAGCTTACTCATCCAGAAAGAATAGTTCTGCCTCATCGTCATCATCGTCATCACCACAGGTTGCAGACTTGTCCTCCACTCCAGTGAAACAGGCACTTCAGCCTTTTCGTAGGATCATTTTTGATGAACAGCAACGTCCACATGTTCGTCAGCGCTATGCATCTGCTACCAATCATCCTTCTTCCATGCTTACACAGACTCAATTGCTTCAACAGCCCCGTCCAACATCGTGCTTATTGAATCCGGCAACGCGAGTCTTGAAGAGGGAGCACGAGCCCTTCGATGAACAGACACAAACTCTCTACACCAGTATAAACTCATCCACCAGTCCAAAGCGTCGTTCTACCTTTTTAGAGGGTGAATCGAGCGTATTGTCATTGCCAGAATTGTTTAATACTCCACGAGAGATGACATTGTTAAGTTGTGGTCGTGCAAATGAAGAGGAGGAGGATTTTTCCTACTTTGAAAGTGCTACCGAATCGGAGTCCATTTTGTCCGAGGAGAATTTAATATTTGACGACTCCTCATCGATGATGGATTTAGCAGACTTTCTACCGGGTGCTGAAGAACTCATACTTGGTGTGGAGCCGTTGGCCTCTGGCACGTTGTCACCAGATCTGGAGATGTTGGATAAAAATGAACTCCTAAAACTCTAAACTCCAACTCACTTTGTTTTGGTGACCTTTGTTGTCTTTCAGGTGGTTTTATCCTTTGTCTTCTCCACTTCACAAGACCACACTCCATGAGGACGCAGGCGTTTTGTACCACATCACATCACACACAACGCAGTCACACTTACACACACACACATACACACACACACACCTTCCGGTTGAAAAGACGGTTATTTTGATAAAAAAAAACAAAACAAAACAGTAAGACGGTAATGCAATCCCAGCCTCTGTGAGGTCCTCTTTTAACGTGCCCCCCTTTTCTTCTCAATATCAATAGCAATGACAGTTTGTGTGGATGTGTTTGTGTGTGTGTGTGTGTGTTGAGTCAGGGATTGACTACCTGTTATTCAATTATTACTCCACCTTCTCCAACTTTTATTCTATCCTTTTTTTTTGTCCGCCTGTGTTAATTTTAAATTTTTTACTACTCATTAGCACTGACTTTTGGAGCCTTGCAAAGTGACGAGGTTTGGAAGGGCGTAAAGGTGGTGGTGGTGGCAAAGAAGAGGAGTGGATTGAGTATGCGTTTGGGTATTGCTTAAGTTTGGGGAAGAGGAGTTTGTTGTGCCTCAATAGCATGCGATTTTAACCCTGGAGGTAATTTGAGGTTTGTGGTAGTGGAGTTGTGAGGTTGCGACTTGATGGAGCGGTGTGTAGGCATCGGAGGGACTGCTGTGTGTGTGTGCGCCTGTCAGTGGCGAGGCGTTTGTCACTGCTTGTATGGGTGTCCGGTGTGACTCAACCCGATTTGCCGCGGATGGCACGTGCATTCTTCAAGGTTGCGCAGATAAACAATGCCACGGCCTGGATGCTTGGTGGAGAGAGAGAGAGAGAGCGAGAGAGTTGATAGGACTGTCGGCTGCTTGTGAAACTTCAAAGTGGAGTTGGGACAGCAGATGTGGACTGAGGTAATGTACAGCAATTTTCCTGTTTGGGGTTGATAAAGTGCCTTGTTTGAAGTGAGTTTACCGACGTTTGAAGTGTCAGGGGAGGTGCGGTTCTCACGCTAACGAGGTGATGGGTTATTAAAGTGGGATAGTGGAGTCGGTGACAGGACTGGTGAGATTACTGGAAAGCGCTTCAAAGGCAAACGTAAGAATGTTGAAGAGCTTCCAGAATGCCCAAGAGGCAAAATGGCAGACTAAGGCCTCCTCCTCCTCCTCCTCCTCCTCCTCCTCCTCCTCCTCCTC